AAAAAAAAAAAAAAAATCCTACTTCGGAAAATATTTTTATAAGAAAATCTGACCAATCTCGCAAAAATTAGAAGCAATGAACATTTCAATCCCGCAATTCGTGAAGACTGCATGCGTCTGATAAGTGCAGTCACGAGGTCCCTGATCTGCTGCGCCATTTGTGAAGGCAAATGTAAAATAAGCTGTAGAATGTAGCTGCCGACAAAAAGCGATCCGGAACTTTCTAGTTCAGGGTCTAGAAGCCTGCACAACAAGATAACCGCACAAATCTTACCAACTTGTATTTCGCATTTATGTTAGGGGCTGAGGACATTTATTACTAGAAAATATATAGCACCATGCATAAACATACCTCAGAGTCATGCATTAAGAATCATATTATAGTAGCTACAGGTTACATATGAGTAATTAACATCTCCTCAAGATGGAAAACTATATTTGGGTAACAAAGCGTACAGTAACCTTGAAGATTTAGATTTTTTTTTTTTTAGCATAGTTTTTCCGAAAATGAGAAAAGAGAGAAATAAAGAAAGAAAAAACACATGGCTATCTTTTAAAACTGCAAATCACCCCATGATATTGGTTTACTAGTACAACACCCGTGTATTACACGGGTGCTTGCTAATTTTTTTTCTTAAAATCTAAAATTAATGAGAAAAAGTAGTTTGAAAATTTAAATACCTTTTACAATAATATATATATTATTATATATTTATTATGACACTTTTTATTTGCGCAACTTGTGTTATATTATACTAATTTTTTTAACTTACAATATATACCTACATTACATATAAATATATCAATTGAGAAATAATTTTATTTTTCCAATGAATTTTAATAAATATTATTATTTTTTATTATTATAAAGATAAGTATAATTTATTTATTTCATATATACAATATGGATGTCAAATCGAAGATAATCAAAAGATGATTAATTTGATATATTATATATGTAAAACCGATAAGAATTACAAAAGTTATCAACTTTTAAAATACATTTATAATTCAATAGCTTAGTGAAAGAAACAAATCAAAATTCAGGGATATATTAGTCACTTAGTGCCTCACTATGTAAAATTACAAAGAATTAAAGGGTTATATTAATAAAAGTGATATTAAAATACCTAAGTTAGCTAAATAATATTTATGTAATACCCGAACCTAGATTATTAATTATTAATATATCAATATTATTTATCCAAACCTAATTACGAAGCATGATTCTTCGCCAAATAGGATTCCGAAGCACCAGAAGCAGCCACGTAGGCTCAGCACATTCGGGAATTATATATAGAGAAGATATTTAACAAATTGCATCATTAAAGTGGCAACTTGTACAACAAGCATAGACTTCAAGGATATTGGAATTTTTGTACTACTTCTCACAACTATCCGTCTTTTCTTGAATGAGACAACATATATAGTTTCTGTAAGCATCTTCTTAACATTGTACAATCAGCTACCACAAACAAGAGCTTCATGTTGTAAGCAGATATGATCTCAATACCCCAGGACAATATAGTGATTTAAACAAAAGGGCCATACACACTAACAACAAAAATGAGCACATCACCTCGAAGCTACATCCAGCAAACTTCTCATTGTGAAACCAGGATCACCAGACCAAGAAAGCATATCTTGTTTCCCAACAGACACAAGTGCAGCTAAACACTGGGTTGCATTCTGTTATACATGTATCTGCCAGTTGTTAATTTCATATTTTAACATAGAAGCTAATTACATGCTTTAAGGTAAGTGAATAAAAAAGTTAACCTGCATTTCACTATGGTCAGTGCTCTGGAGAACTATTCTCACGACAGGATCAAATGAAACTTGATAGAGTGCTTTTACCACATCAACAGGGGCATTCTGCGAAATAATATGTTGCAGTTGTAAGCACTATACAAATCTAATATGCAAACACCAATCATAATGTAAAAACAGTTCTCACCTTTATCAGCATTGTGACAAGATCCAAAGAACCGGCAACTAAACCATCGGGTTGCTGTTGCGGCTGAAAAATGTAACAGTATCATTTGGAAATGAAAAATACAAGTATCTATTAACATTTTTCCTTCGATTATTGGAGATAGGTAAAGATTTGCATACACTACTGAGGATTGGCCCGATGTAGGGGATAACTCGTGAAACCAGCGGATGAATACACCCAGGGGCCTTTTTTATGGCCTGAAAAGGTGCGAAACACAAGGCAGTACAGAATTGTTGCTTAAAGAACACTAGAAGTTACAAATTTCAGCTCACATTAACTTAAATTGTCAATCATGATTCATGAGAAATTTCAAATAACAGTTGATATGTTCTACAGAAAGCATACAAAGGATGTTCCCAAAGAATCAGAGAAAATGTCCAAAAACAGCATAGTTGACCTTTGGAAAAGCACTCAGGGTCAGGGATATGCAAAACACACTCAGGGTCAGGGATATGCAAAACATTTTGTCGGCAATAATTTACTGACAACTAAAGCAATTATAAGGTTTTTGGGGAGTTGGATACATCTTCAAGAAATATGCTAGTTTCCAGCAAAGATAGATACAGAATACATTGACATGCCCCTCATAATCCAAGTTCCAACAAGGGGAAATGGGTAAACGAAAAAAATTATATATATATATA